CAACTCCCCCCCCCCGCTGATCCCACCTGCTTCCCAATCCCTCCTGCAGATCCTACTCCCCCCGCAGGAACCCCACCTGCCTCCCTGAACCCCATGACCTCCCATGGAACCTGCCTGCCCCCTTGATTCCCTCCCCTAAACCTCCACCCGGTAACCCTCAGCCTTTCCCTCAGCTTTTCCCACCCTGATTGCCCTTAGATAGGGTAGTCATTTTTAACCAGATCTAACTTCCCCTAACTATCCTGAATGTCTGTAGGCACCTCTAGTGAGTTGTTAGAGTATGTATCTAGGTTAGAGAGGCTCACTCTAGTTTCCTCTTTCTGGATCAAAGAATCATATTAAATTTATGCCTGGCAACCCAGGTTCAGCAGGGGAAATGGAGGGTAGCCAGTTAGTTTACATGTGAGATGTGGGTTTGAATCCCTATGGAAGGAATGGAGCCAGGGTTTCCTTCTTCTGGAGTGAATGCTGTGACTAGAAGGCTATTGAAAAAGGCAGCAAGGTTCTCAGGGAAACTGGTGGCTGCCACTGCATTTTTCCAAGGACCTTAGTCAGACATGTTTGCCCTGGGAAGGCTTATTAGTTCAAACCCTTTAGGCAAGATAGAGGAATGACTCATTACTGGACCCCAGTAGGAGTAGTTGGATGCCAGTGTGTTCAGCTCTGTCACAGTTGATGCACCTCTTCCACATTCAAAAGGAAAACTTCTAGTGTCTGGGGAACCTTGTTGGTGAAAAATATAAAACCCATGGAGTTAGGCACCTGCAGCAGCTAAATGAGGGACATTTAGTTTCAGCTTAAGGGGTTGTTTTTTTTTGGGGGGGGGTGCGGATACTTTCCAGGGAGACTAAAAGACAAAAGTAGCAATACCATGCAGAACATCGTAATCCTGGAAGCTCCTTTCTAGGTCCAGAGAATCTTTAGATTCAATAAAGAGGGACCATTCTGCTGGCCTAATGTCTCGTGCAGAATTCAGCCCCAGATTTTTTACATAAGACAGCCATTTTAGCAGATTTTGAAAAGGATTTTTAATAAGAAACTGAAGTAAATTATAACTTCTATAAAGAAATGTGTTTTAGAGGGTTTGCTTTTAACAGTGTTGTAGAAGACAAAACCTGTCCCAAACACTGGAAAGTTACCTTCAGGAATAAATGTGCATTCACTTGAATATGAGACCATGTCATAGTTTCCTTCAACTCTAAAGATTGCTCCTTCATGTATAGGCCTCCTTGAAAATATGCAGTTTTTCTTGTTCACCTGAAAAACAACATACATTTGTGTCAATCCTTTGTTTTTTCCTTTCCTATTGTAGGTGGTCATTGCCCCAGGAATAACCCAATCAAAATGCTAGCTGCAGCTAGTGGGACAGCTCACAGTGGGCAAAGTTACAGATGTGTGTAAGTCTTGTGAGGGTCCAGGCCTATATTTGCTCTGTCCCCAGCTGCATTAATTCCTGAAGGAGAAATCCAGGGGGAACTACAGGCATTGGTGCCAGGGGTGCGAACAGTTTAGTCTTTGGCTCCCCCAATACTTCTCTCCCACTAAAGTCCATGGAACTCCTTCATTAAAGAGCTTTAGCAGATTTTGTAGGGAACTATGGATAGCAGCAGTGTGCTCCCTTCTCTTCTGGAAGGGCAAAAGAAAATCTGCTCCACACAGTGCCCCCCCCCATGGGACATTGTGACCATGTGACTGACCTTCTGCATCACACAAAACACTGAATGTCACTCAGTAATTCTTGCATCATGCTAAACTCTTAGGGTAGAAACATATTGCCAAGCTGAAGCAGATCAACTGTGGTGGGACCTGTGTGTCACCCAACAAAGAGCATCAGCTTCACATGGAGGCATGGGATGCTGGGGATTACCCAACTCGTACCCCAGTCCCTGGCAAGATTAATGCTGATCCATGCCTCCTCATGAGGCATGGTTCACTTCTGATCCCAGCATGGAGACACAAGGTGCCCAGGATTCACTAGGTCCCATGCTGGCATTACTCCATTTGCAGAGATGTGCCCTGGGGCGCATTTCTCTAGGTGGGAAAAGCAAGGCAGGTGCTCCAGGAGATTGAGGGAACCAATCCAACCCAGTTTTCCTGACTTCAGGCCTCTCAAGTCCTGGACTTCTTCCCAGGGTGGTGGGAGAGTGCAGACAGCTCTGGGCTTCCCACATGCTACCACCATAGACCAAGGAGATGGCCATAATGAAGTAGCACAATTTATCAGTAGCTTTTGTCATGCTACCAATGTAGCATGACAAAGGGTCAGGACATCTATTTGCTTGGCATTTGTGCTATAGTAAAAGTTGTTGTTATGACGATGCAAATATGACATCAAGCAATATTTGTTTCTACCCTTTCCCACAGCATCACAATGATATTGCTGGACCTAAATGGGATGCTCAGTTGGTCATTGCCTTGTCTTGCTCTCCCTCCCAGTGATTTTCAGAATCACTCCTTTTCTGGATATTGTCCCTCATTCTTAACTACATACAGAGACCTCCAGGAGGTCTTGGAAACAAAATGAGTAATCTTGTTGAATATTAAATGCGTCTTTACATGTGCTCCTGGGTGGGATCTTTAATTAGAGGGATTCGTGTATTCAGTGTACTGCACTTCAAAACGGTGGTGGGGGGTGCTTTAACTAAAGGTCATTCAACAAGCTTTAGTTAAAGTGCCCTCACCGCCATTTTGAAGCATAGGGATAATGATACATAAGACACAAAGGCTGATGGAGCACACTAATTGGCATGCTCCAGCAGATTTAATTAATCGAGTCTGCTCCAACATGCTGTAGTTACAGCACATCAGAGCTGCATCCCTGCACATGTACAGGCACCCTGAGATTCGACCAGTCCTGCACACATTCTTGTTTAAGAAATTAAGGCTATAAAAGGGAAAGACGTAAGTAAGTGTTTCTAGCAGCAAGTGAGTAGCAAACTTACCTCTTTTTCTGCAGACCTGTTTTTTGTTTCCAGAGTACATTGGTATTTGGTAATATTGAGACTGCTGTCCCAAGTCAGCTCTAGTTTTTTCAGATTCACCGCCAAGTTTGTAATGGGTGAGGTTGTCTCATTTGCTGAAAGTTTTATAAATAAATATCAGAAAGATGTGATAAGTTCTCTCAAAGTTTTTAGGTGCAGAGGCCTTTATCTAGGCATGGCACAGAAAACCAACCTTTGCTTCATTGCAAATATCCTAAGTGTGAAATGAAATGAAACTCAATTTTTCCAAATGCCTCAGATCAAAGGATTTAACTTACAGTATGTACACTGGATAGTAGCATGCACTGGATGAAATGGCAGGATGCACCAGATAATGGCAGACACACCTAAAGTGATCACCATGATGTTGCTTGGAAACAGACAGGAATAACACCTGAAGAAAAGGAAAGATGTTAGGATTCATTTGGGCTTCTGTAAAACTTGATTGTTTTTAAGAAAAGGAGCTGAATTCTGGCTAAGTTTCTGCTTCAAAGGCTGCAGAAACTTTCCTGGTGCTCTAAATCCTTTTTTGTAGTGCACATAAAATACAAAGTGCAGTGGGAGAGTGACAAAGAGATGACTGAAGGGAGTTTGGGGCAATGCCTGATATATTGACTCATGGTAGTTAGAGCACTTTGCTGGGAAGTAAGAGATGCAGTTTCAAACCCTGTAAGGTGACAGGGCCCTAAAATATGGGTTTTCTGTATCCCAGGGAGGTGCCCTAACCCCACAACCACTTTGCTTATCACTACCATTTTACCCCTGGCAGCTCTGTGCACAGATGCACATGGAATCCAAGTTGTGTGCAGGTGCCAAAAATTAAATTTACATATCTCTGTAAGTTACACACCTCAGTGTCATGGGGAAATACGATTTTGTCCTTAGCCTCCTTGGGTGCATCTACATGGGATGTTTACTGTGGAGCTGTAACCAACTCCCCATTAGGATAGTACTACCAAACACAAGTACTATGTTACAGTGGAGTTATTTACTCCACTGCAATGCACATGTAAAGAACCTTTAGTATTTGTTCTTGATGGGACTGATGGGGCTGGCTGGGGCACAAGGGTATTTCAGTGCAGGGGCTGCCTGCTGGTAAGCCCAGCACCAAAAACACCTCCTACCTCAGCCAGCCCTCTGCAGCACATTGAGCTAGGTCAGAGCATCCCCAGGCTGGCAGGCTCCCTGCCATCGAGGATTGCTCTGTCCCAGCTAGACATGCTATGGTTTCAGGTGCACGTGCAAATGTGAACTGCACCAAAGTTTATTCAGCCACCTTAATTGCATGTGTAGACGCACCCTCTGTGTCTCAGTTCTGCACTGCATCAAGGCTTAATAGCTTTTTCCTTCTCATCAGGAATACTGTCAAGCGTGTGATGTACTCCTGTACTATCGTAAGGGCTATATAAGAATCTGAGATATCAGTCTGATTGTTGTATTTTTGGGTTTGGAGCATGTGAAAAAGATCAGGTGCATGTTCAGAGTATCTGTGCCAAGACATGCTGATGGATAGACATACTCTTAGATATGCAGGACGAAATTTGTCTGGGTCAGGCCAGGATGCCAAAAGAAGCACACGTGCGCAGCAGCGCGCATGAACCCTTGGCTCCCCCTGGTCCTACCAAGTGGAGCGGCAATACTGGTGGGTGAGGAGCCAGCAGGAGCCAGCAGCAGCAATCAGGTAAGCCGGGGGAGGGAAGGGGAGGGAACTGGGCCAGTTGGGTCAGCTGTAGGGGATCAGGAAGGGGTTTTTCTCCCCTCCCGTCCCTATATAGCCGTGCCAGGTGGAAGCCACGCTCCTGAGCCGCACGAACAGGCCCCGCAAACAGGTGTGCTCTTCTACTCTGTTTACCAGGGTGCCCCTTGGGGTTACTAGAAAAAACGGCCATAAACTGAAAGAGAGTAGTTTTAGATTGGACATCAGGAAGAACTTTATGGTGAGGGTTGCCAAAATATGGAACGGGCTTCCAAGAGAGGTGGTGCTTTCCCCTACCTTGGAGGTGTTCAAAAGGAGATTAGACAAGCACCTGGCTGGGGTTACTTGACCCCAGAGAAGGGGGTTGGACTCAATGATCTAATAGGTCCCTTCCAACCCTGGAAATCTATGAAATCTATGAAATTCAGATGCAAATCTGATCATAAAATACTAAAGGTTCTTTATTTCACTGGTATAGAAACCCACAAATTCCTTCTTGGAACAGTATGGGTCCTTCTTCTTTCAATATCTGTTTCTGTCAAATGTGTTTTTCTTCTTAGAAGAATTACTACAAGGAAACAGATCAGACTATTGCACATTTTTCCCCTATTATGAAAACAAATCTGTTAAGGTTTCATGATGATTAACCTCCCCAGGGAACACTTGAATTACAGAAAAAGTAAGCACAAGGTTATATTCTGTGAACAGTTTTACCTTTCCACACTACAACTTACAACCATTTCAAAAGAACAGGCTACAATCCAATTCCATTTTGAAGTGCAGACATAACCGTCCATCATGCTATGCTAGAAACCTTTGTTACAACTTGAGAGTACCCAGAAAACTGGAAAAGTAGAACAGCTATTCTGCAAAACTGAAACTGAGCCCAGGTCAAGACAGCTATGATGTCTGACATTGAACTTGATGGACCCTTCTTGATGTTACTGCATACATTAAAAAAATAAGTCAGAATCATTTCCTTTTAGGGAGTCATTGTTACATAGCATGAATGTGGGTTATCAGGATGTGACTTTACAGAAGGGTCCATATGACTAACACAGAGCAGAAAAACTGAACAGAAAGTTTTAAAAATTAGACACAACAAATGCTTTCTGTTTTCCAACCTGCTTCATACATATCTGAGAGAACTATTCTGTATGTTGGAGAAAATTGTAGAGAGGAATAGGGAGAGAAAGAGAGGGACAAGTAGGGCATCAAGGCTAACGGTAGGATAAGAAGGGTAAATACAGTTATGCAGTTCAGTTAGTAAGTCAGATTATCTATTATACCTTCCTAATATGGCATGGGGAAACTTTTATCTCCACATGTGGTAGAAACAAACACTTACATATTTCCATGACGTGAAATGTTCAATATCATAGTACTTAAGTGAAATTAAGAGCCAGGATTTATAAACAAACATTGAACTGCCTCCTGTATCTGAGTACAATGGGTCATACTCGCTTCCATCTATTAGGTATATAAATGGACATAAATCTCAGTGCGTGATACTATTCCACCCAGTTCAGGTGGTGAGAATCCACCAAAGCCTCTGTTTTTGTAACATACTACTGTCATATAACCCTTTAAGACTGAAGTCATTAAAAAAAAATAATAAAAAGAAGAGAAAGGAAAAAAGAAACAGATACCTGTTTTTCAGGGACTTGAGTAGGTTGGAACAGAATCATGCTTAGGAGCGTAAGTACACTTATATGCCTAATAGGTAGATGAGAATCTGACCCCAGATACAGCCTGTGTAATGATATCCATCTTACCAAGTGCAAGGGAAAGTGTTCTATAAATTTCCATTAGATTTTTTTAAAGCATTGAGGTAGCAGCATTTGTTCTCCAGAAGAACTCCAGCAGTTCATCTGGAGAACTTATGTGCTGCCCTGGCAACAGAGAGGGAAGAGCACATTTCATTGGTGGAGGAGGACAGGCCAGGCCTCACCAAAGTGAGAACGACTGAGACAACTGCCACCAGAAAAAGCACTGGGCAGTGGTGGTTGGAGAGTCCCTTCTGCAGGGGACAGAGGGAGTCATCTGCCCACCTGACCTGTTGTCTTGGGAAGTATGCTGCTTGCCCAGATCAGAGATATGTCATGGAGGGATTATTGAGACTCATCCAGCCCTCTGACTACTACCCTATGCTGCTCATTCATGTGATCACCAATGATACTGTCAGGGGAGACCCTGAGCAGATCAAAAGTGACTACAGGGCTCTAGGGGCAAGGGTGAGGGGGTCTGGGGCTCAGGTTGTGTTCCTGTTGATCCTTTGGGCAAGGGAAAGGGCCTGTGCAGGAATAAGTGCATCCTGCAGATCAACACCTAGCTATGCAGGTGGTTTCACCAGCAGGGATTTGGCTTCTTGGAACACCAGCCCATCGTCAAAGAAGAAGGATTGCTGGGAAGAGATGGGATCCACCTGACAAAGAGAGGGAAAAGGGTCTTCACAGACAGGCTTGCTAACCTAGTGAGGAAGGCTTTAAAATTATGTTTGCCTGGGGATGGAGACCAAAGCCCTGAGGTAAGTGGGGAAATGGGAGACCTGGAGGAAGAGGAAGCAGGAGGGGGCAACAGGGAAGGTGCTCTCATACTTCCTGAGATATCAGAACAATTGATTAGTTACCATAGGTGCCTGTACACAAGTTCACGGAGCCTGGAAAAGAAGCAGGAAAAATTGGAAGTCCTCAGACGGTTACAGAACTATGGTGCAATTGGAATAACAGAGACTTGGTGAGATAGCTCACATGACTGGACCACTGTCACGGGTGGGTACAAACTGTTCAGGAAGGACAGGCAGGGGAGAAGAGGAGGAGTTGCTGCACTTTATGTAAAAGAGCTGTATGACTGCTCAGAGCTCCAGTATGAAACTGGAGATAGGCCTCTGGGTTAAGGTTAGAGGGGAAACCAATATGGGTGATGTTGGAGTGGGGGTCTGATATAGACCACTGTGATCAGGAGGAAGTGGTGGATGAGGCCTTCTTCAAAACAGCTAGCAAAAGTTTCCCAGTCACAAGCCCTGGTTCTCATGGGGGACTTTAGTCACCCTGATATCTGCTGGGAGGGGAATACAGCAGTGTGGAGGCAACCTAGGATGTGTTTGAAGAACATTAGGGATAACTTCCTGGTGCAAGTGCTGGAGCAGCAAACTAGGGGTTGTGCTCTTCTTGATCTGCTGCTCACAAACAGGGAAGAATTGGTTGGGAATGTAGTAGTGGATGGCAACTTGGGTAGCAGTGATCACAAGTTGATTGAGTTCAGGATCCCAAGGAAAGGAAGGAAGGAAAGCAGCAGGGTAAAGTCCCTGGACTTCAGAAAAGCAGACTTAGACTCACTCAGGAAAATCAACAGCAGAATACCCTGGGAAGCCAGACTGATGCAGAGAGGAGTCCAGGAGAGCTGGCTGTATTTTAAAGAAGGCTTACTATGAGTGCAGGAACAAGCCATCCTGATGTGCAGGAAGATGAGCAAGCATGGCAAAAGACCAGCTTGGCTTAGCAGGAAACTCTTCAGTAAACTAAGTCACAAGAAGGAAGCTTATATAAGAAGTGGAAACTTGGACAAATACGTAGGGAGACATATAAGAGCATTGCTCGGGCATGCAGGGATGAAGTCAGGAAGGCCAAAGTGCAACTGGGGTTGCAGCTAGCAAGGGATGTGAAGGCAACAAGAATGGTTTCTACATGTATGTTGGTAGCCAGAGAAAGATCAGAGAAAGTGTGAGTCCCTTACTGAAGGGGGGGAGGCAACTTTGTGACAGAGGATGCAGAAAAGGCTGAAGAGCTCAATGTCTTTTTTGCCCCAGTCTTCACAGGCAAGGTCATCTCCCAGACTACTGCACCTGACAGCACAATTTGGGGAGGAGGTGAGTGGCCAACAGTGGCAAAAGAACAGATTACAGACTATTTAGAGGAGCTGGACATGTACAAGTCCATGGGGGCATATGGGATGCCCCAGAGCGTGCTGAAGCAGTTGGCTGATGAGGTTGCAGAGCCTTTGGCTATCATCTTTGAAAACTCGTGGTGATCAGGAGAAGTCCTGGATGACTGCAAAAGGCAAACATAGTGTCCATATTTAAGAAAGGGAAAAAGGAAGTTCCAGGGAACTACAGACCAGTCAGCTTCACCTCAGTCCCTGAAAAAATCATGGAGCAGATCCTCCAAGAATCCATTTCTAAGCACTTGGAGGAGAAAAAGTGATCAGGAACAGTCAGCATGGATTTACCAGGGGCAAGTCATGCCTGACTAACCTGATTGCCATCTATAATGAGAAGACTAGCTCTGTGGATGCGGGGAGACCAGGGGATATGGTTTACCTTGATATTAGCAAGCTTTTGATATAGCCCACAACATTCTTGCAGGCAAGCTAAGGAAGTAGGGAGCTGGATGAATGGACTGTAAGGTGGACAGAAAACTGGCTGGAGCATTGGGCTCAGAGAGTAGTAATAAATGCCTCAATATCTAGTTGGCAGCCAGTATGAAGTAGAGTGCCCCAGGGGTTGGTCTTGTGACCAGTTTTGTTCAAGATCTTCATCGGTGACCTGAAAGATGGCATAGAGTGCACCCTCAGCAAGTTTGCAGATGACAACAAGCTGGGGTGGGGGGGAGGGGGAGAGAAGGCAGGGGGGTAGTAGATATGCTGGAGGGTAGGGCTAGGATTCAGAGTGACTTAGACAAATTGGAGGATTGGGCCAAAAGGAATCTTATGAGGTTCAACAAGGACAAGTGCAGCACTTAGGATGGAACAATCCCATGCACCGGTACAGCTGACTGGCTGGGCAGCAGCTCTGCAGAAAAGGACCTAAGGGTTACAAAGGCCAATAAGCTGAATAAGAGCCAACAGTGTGCCCTTGTTGCCAAGAAGGCTAATGGCACACTGGGCTACATTGGTAGGAGTGTAGCTAGCAGATCAAGGGAAGTGATTATTCCCCTCTATTCAACACTGGTGAAGCCACGTCTGGAGTACTGGTGGGGGGCCCCCAACAGAGAAAGGATGAGGACAGCTTGGAGAGAGTCCAGTGGAGGGTGACAAAAATGGTGAGGGGGCTGGGGAACATGACTTATGAGGCAAGACTGGAGGGAACTGGGCTTGTATTTAGTCTAGAGAAGAGGAGACTGAGAGGAGATTTAAATAACAGCCTTCATCTACCTGAAGGGGGGGTTGAAAGAGCATGGAGCTAAACTGTTCTCAGTGATGGCAGATGACAGAACAAGGAGCAACAGTGTCAAGTTGTAGCAAGGGAAGTTTAGGCTAGGTATTAGAAAGAATTCTCTGACTAGGAGGGTAGTAAAATACTAGAAAAGGTTCCCCAGAGAGGACGTGGAATCTCCATCCTTGGAGATTTTTAAGATCTGGCTAGACAAAGCTTTGGCTGGGATGATCTAGTTGGGTGATCCTGCTTTGAACAGGGGGTTGGACTAGATCACGTCCTGAGGTGCCTTCCCACCCTGATTTTTTTATGATTCTATGATTTTCTGTGGCTTAAAAAAAAGAAAGGTGTTGAGTGAAATAGAGCACTGCACAGTGGAAAAAGCCTTGGCATCATCTTTATTGGACATTGCAGTAGTGTTGAAAAGTTGAGCACTCTTTTACTGATTTCTTAGAGATATTTCAGTTATATGGGAAAATATAAACAGATCCTAAATACTTTGTCTCAGCCTCTCTCAAGCAAAAAGAGTGCTCATTCAAGACATTTATTCCACTGAAAACATTTATGGCAGATGAAATCATAAATAGACAAAAATGCCTACCTTCTCAAAACTCCTTTATCTCATTTAGCAGAATGTTGCAACAATGATGCCCAGCGAGGACTGCAATGCTCAAGTCTGAAGCTGGAAGGGTGCAGCAATAATATGGTTTCTACTTTGTCACTGTATAGTAACCTTTGTTCTTCCTTACATAATAGGAAGTCTTGTGATAGCTTTACTACTTAGTCACTATTTCCTTTAACTCTCAACTCCCTTAATTCTCAACACAGTCCACCCATACAGTGGAATACAGTTGTTGTTTGGATTAGTGAGAAAAAAGTGTGCCACTGATCAAAGCAGGTAGAACTCCACCAGTGTTAGTTCCAGCCCTGAGAGCATTTACATCTTCAACCAGTTAGTTCAGGTGTTTAAGGATTTAGACACCTATGGGCAGATTTTGTTTCACCTATGGAACTTCAAAGTAGACTTAGGCATTTATGAGCAATCTTATTCCTCTGGCTCAACATGAAAAATCTATCAATACACCTATTTTTGCAACACCATCATTCTGTCTTTAAGAGTGAGCCACAGAAAAGCAGCAAGTAAAAAATTATTTTTAACTTAATTTTTTCCCCTAGCTCAGAGCCATAGGAGGTTAACCGCAGTGAGGGCATGGAGCATGGATCCTGGGAAAGCATGCTTCTATGGTCTCCATGGTCTTGTTGCCCAACAGCTCTGCTCCCAACATCAAGCCACTGAGGGTTAACTGCAGCAACAGCATGCAGCCTGCAGAACCATGCCTCCCTGCACTCCTTGACCTTGCCATGTGGCAGCTCCATTCCTTGTCACCAGAGTTTATCTGTGGTCATGGGGAAGCCTCCACCCCTTGCTGCCAGGGGTTATCTGTGGTGATGCCTTCCTCCCTTTGTCTAGGGGAAAAGGGCCTGGCAGGCATGGAAAATTCCAGTTCAATTAAGTTCAGTTTACCTTAGGTTAAGATTTCTCATGTGTTGTGCCCAGCTTAAAGGCATAGGACAGACCCTAGCAAGGCTTGGGAGCACTGCGATGGAATAGGGGCCTTGGGACTTGGTTTGGCATGGCTCTTTGCAGGCAACTGCATGATCTTGTCAGCTCAGCACTCACCATCCCCCTTCTTAGGCTGGGACAAGACTATGGAGGACTCGGGTGGGGAGTGGGGAGGGGAACTGGGTCCCCCCCAAATCTCACTATGTGGGACAGGGCCATGGGAGTTGTGGGGGAGGATGTGGATGTGGGAGAGTGGGTGGGTATGGGGGATTTGCGGTGTGTGTATGCAGGGCAGTTGTGGGGGAGCTGTGGGTGTGGGGATGTGGGGTGTGTAGAGAGGAGGGTGGCTGGGTGTGTGTGGGAGGGGTGTAGGTGTGGGATGTGCATGGGGAAGTATGTGTGCATGTGTATGGTGGGGTGTGTGTGGCCCCTGGCAAGCTCCAGGACTGGTGAGCCCCAGGACTGCACATGGCCAGGCTGCTGGCTCCATCATGGGGACTCACATGCCCAAACCCTGTGCTGCTGAGGGAAGCCCCAAGGTTGAAGCTGGAAATGTAGTTCATGGGGCTCGACTGGGGTGGCAGGGAGCAGGGGTGAGCCGGCCTGATTCCCTGTCATTCCTCATGACCTGTGCAAGGTAGTGAGCAGGTCCAGGCCATCAAGTGCATCGCGTAGAGCTCCCCACAGAGGCACATGGCTCAGGTGGAGAACCTGGGAACTGTATGCGAGCCCCAGGAGCCTTGTGCGATGAAGCCAGGTGGACCCTGCCAGCCCATGCCCTGCACTCCCACTGCTGCCACTGCTTCCCCTGCTGACCTGCCTGCCCCCACTCCTCCAATGCTTCCATACCTTCCTCCCTAGTGCTTCCACCCTTATTCTGCTCACTACCACTACTTTCCACCCTGCAGGACTGGGGTTGGGGTGTCCCTCAGGTGAGGGCAGGAGTGCAGCACACACTGCCCTCATGGGGCCGACACAGCAGGCAGAGCCTGGGGCTGGGCCAGATACAGTGAATTGATAGGCAACTACCCTTGGGTGGCATGAAGTCACTTGCTGGGCTGGATCCATCCCATGGGCCATATTTTGCCCACCCCTGTTCTAGGGGCTACCCTACCACAAGCAGCTCAACCACTGTGACCACAAATCTCAGTAGGGTACAGTTGTCAGTCACACCAAGGACCCACCTCCATATTATCCTGCCCTGGCAATCCTGATGTTACATACCCCTCCTGGGGCATGGGCTTCCAGCCCCATTCCTTGCCCCTTTTGGGTTATAGACTAGGGCTGTGCGAAGCTTTGGTCCCTGATTCAATTCAGCAGAGATTCGGCCCAATTTGATGGCTGAATCTCTGAACCTGAATCAAATCAGAAGACTCTTTAATCTCTCTGAATCAAACTGGAACCCTCTGAACTGATTCAGAGAGATTCGGAAAGATTTGGCGATTCAGACATAGACCCAGCGTTAATTGTTTTTTTCTACATATCTCAAGGTACCAGGTAGCTCATGAATGGTGTGGTGGTGGGGCTGCTGGAGCATCCCACAGAAGCATGGGGGACTCCCCAGCACGCTTGGCAGCAGACTTGGAAGTGCACCAGAAGCCCCAGAAGCCTCGGAAGTGCACTTCCAGGTCTGCTGGGGAGTTTGCTGCCCCCCCCCACCTCTCTGGCTTGGCAACTGGTGCCTCTTGGGTCTGGGGGGGCACCTGGAGTCCCCCCATGGCTGAATGATGAGCTAGGGGGGCCCGGGAGGGCCCCCCCCCCCCATGTGCTGCTCAGCAGACCCGCCCAGAAGTGGACCAGAAGTACTTTTGGTCCACTTCTGGGTTTGCCGCCAAGCACATGTGCCCCTGCCCCCCACCCTGCACTCCTGCAGGACGCTTCATCTGCCCCAGCATTGCAGCATTCATAAGCCATGGCTGGTACCTCAAGGTACGTAGAAAAAAACATTTAAAGTTGCGCCTATGGCCGAATCATTGATTTTCCGAATCACATTGAATCTTCAGATTTGGATTCAGCCAAGTAGAATCAGAGAGAGTGATCCAAATCAATGAATTGAATCTTTGTCCCTGATTCAGGCCGAATCTGAATTGAATACAGGCCATTTCATACACCCCTACTACTACAGACCTCCAGACCCCTTGGCCAGGTCCATCTCAGCCCTAGGCCCTCTGGACCCAGCTTTCTTCCCCCGGTCTCTGGGCTCCCACACTCAACCCCTCATTAGGCTCCAGATCCCTCCACATGTCACACAAACACAGCCCCCCACTCTGGGCTCATCCAGACCCCTAAATAGGTCCCCAGACATGCAGCACCTCTCTCAGGGCTACAGACCCCATACTGGGTCCCCTGAAACCTCCATCCCTATGATTCCTTCCCAGACCTTCAGGCTTCTTACTGTTTTCTCCCTGCTGGCATTGAGGAGCTGCAGCCTTCCTGCCAGGCAATATTTCCTCACCAGCTTCCAGAATCTCACTGTCAGCTGCTTGCAGGGTCTGGGCTTATATCCTACATAATCCTAGCCCTCCTTCAATCAGGGGAGCCCTAGCTACCACCCATGGGCTCCTGGGGTCATATTACCCCATATTCAGCTCTGGCCCCACCTACAGGCTGCTATGGCCTCTGAAAGGGGCAGATGCCTTAAGCATCCTGCTACACCTCCCACTCAGGGTGCCTGACCGTCCTCCACTACACCTGATTTTATCTTGCCCCATCCCCAGCCTTCCCTGGAGAGGGCAGTGCTGCTGGGGTTTGTTGGAGCAGGCAGGCATGGGCCCAGTCTACTGGGCTCAGCCAGGGCCTCTTAAGGGCCCAGCCCTTAACCACCACCCATAGTTCATAAACACATGAGAAAGTCTTGGTTTTTTTCCATTTCCTGAATTTGATATAAAATATAAATGCTTTAAATAATGATATAAAAACTTTTTATATAACCTTAAAGGATTATAGGAGACCAAGGTGGGATGATGCTCAACCTTCCTTCTTCCTTTCCTTCCTTCCTCCTTGTTGTACCACCCCCCTCCCTTCCCCACTGTCACCACAGCCACTGGCTGTGCCACCCCTCCCTGTGCCAGCCAGGACCCTCTAC